ACAGAAAGCGGCTGTCACAGCATGTGAGTACTAAACTAAGTTCTCATTCACACACAAGTTTACGTTAAAAACACACGAGTTACAAAAAACAGTCGGTTATGTCTGTGAAGGTAAACAGCTGGGAAATAAATCGCATGTATATTTTAGATCTGTGTGGCAGCAGCAATATACAGTAAATAAATCAATAAATCCACTGCTCTGTTGTCTCCTCTGAGGCTGGGACTCTAAATAGTGTTCTGTGCTCGTCTGTGCAGCCAAAGACAGAACAGTTAGCATGTTTTGCTCAAACTTTCGCCATGGCATTAGCACTGGTAACGTTACACCATTGTCGCTTGCAAAATCAAAATGACTGCGCCGTGGGTGGAAATTTACAGATTAAGGGGCGGTAATATTATAATGAGATCCCTTTGCCACGTCACCAAGGGAGTGAAATCTGATGTGTTCGTTTTCTCAGACGCTTGCAGAAAAAGGTGTACCAAAACAAAGTTACTGGGTTCATCTTTTTCACGTTTCCTTGGTTGGTAGATGCACTGGGGACCTGATTATAGCACTTCGAACCTGGAAAAGTCAGATTTTCATGATATGTCACCTTTAAATTCAGTCATGAAATCTGAAATTTGTATCAGTTGAAATGCATGTTTTATTGTGTCTTGTGTGTTTTTCTCGTTCTGGTCTCAGTCTTGTCTCAGAGCACTGTTCGTAAGGAACATCCCTGGATGAAGCTGGTTGATCCGGGTCCTTGGTCTCGTCTTCCTCCGGCTCCGGCTCCGGCTCCGGCTCCATCCGCTCATTCCCGCCACCGGCCCGTGACCTTTAACCCCTTCCTGGAGGACGAGTCCAAGGATGAAGAGGTACTGAATGAAGGTAGTTTCTGAAGAACTGACACAAACCAGCAGGTTTATTCAACCAACGCTGGTTCTTCACTGGTTTGAACTCCTCTAGTTTTAGTTTGGACTCCTCTACTCCTCTATATTTAGCCTCCTCTAGTTTAGACGAGTCATATGATCTCTAGGCTGGGAATAGAGTTGCTAGTGTTAGCAGAGGCCGTCAGTATCAGGTTTACCTGAGAAACACACTGATTCACAGTCTTTAACTCATTTACCTTTTTTTTCAACTGCTTACACACATTTTCAAAACTTTTGCCTCTTCTTTTCAAAACTTTACACACAAATCCAAGAATTGCACACACAAAATGCTAAATACCTCACATCTCTTGCAAAATGAAGCACTGCATTCAAAATATCACAAACACATCTCAAAAGCAAACACCTTTGCCATAATATTAATTCCTGTTAGATTTTTGTGTGTTACATAGAGAATTGTGTGTTGTGTTTTGCAAAAAGTGTTTTATGAAATTGAAAACTGAGTCAAAGGCCGAGAATTAGCGTATGGTTTTGCAGAGTTGGTGTGTGCTTTTGGTGTTTGAGTGTCAGCTTTCAGAAACTGTGTGACAAGTAAAGATTTTGTGTAAGCAGTTGAAAAAAAACTGTAAACAAACTGTCAGCTCTAAACAATAACGAATGTGGCATAAATTGTCAGTTTTATCAAGGAAGGTCAAGAACCTTAAACCTAATTCATCACCCAGTCATGATGAGATCAGATCTGAGTCTAGACCTTCAGAGACCAGATTAGACCTGAGTCACAAATTCAGATAAAGAAGCAGCATCTCCACTTTAATGAACTGAAATAGAGAACAATGTAGCTTTAATTTCCCTTTCGGAGTCATGTGATTTCTTTCTAATGTTCAACCTGTGGTTGAAGCTGTTATCACTTTTATCTAGTGGATGTGTGTGAGCGTCATTCAGTCAGAGAACCAGATAAACAAACATCTGACGCTCAGACTGAAGAGTCACAGTTTGTGGTTGTGGGTTATTTTTCTCTTTGCAATCTCAAAGGATATTATTTGTGTGTGTGTGTGTGTGTGTGTGTGTGTGTGTGTGTGTGTGTGTGTGTGTGTGTGTGTGTGTGTGTGTGTGTGTGTGTGTGTGTGTGTGTGTGTGTGTGTGTGTGTGTGTGTGTGTGTGTGTGTGTGTGTGTGTGTGTGTGTGTGTGTGTGTGTGTGTGTGTGTGTGTGTGTG